AGAGAGAGAGAGAGAGAGAGAGAGAGAGAGAGAGAGAGAGAGAGAGAGAGCTCGGCATTCCCCGGCGTGTTCCACGGGAATATGGAGATGCTACGATAACCCTGCATACCGAATTACCTGCGAGAGGTCTATATATCCGATGTGCTCTCCGTCGAGCACGGCGTCGCGCCTTCTCTTCAACTACCATCTCCTTTCGTTTTGCGGCGTTTTATTAGCATAAAATGATTGGACGGCTTAATACGCGCTACAACTTGAGAAACGAACGTTTAATTCGTGGATCTCATTATCAACAGTCATATAGAACACAACGTGTATTTGTATCGCGTAAACTCGCGACACCCATTATTCCCCACAACACGGAATTTCGCGCACATCGAAAACGCTCGGGCATTTATTGAAGTATGAAGCTGTGAAAGATTGGAGAAATTGAAGATCAGCCGGGCATTTCGCGAGACGTCATTCGAGAGAGATGGAGATAGAGGAGACGGAAATAATGAGCGGTATGATAAGGGATGGCAACACAACACGCAAATGGAACAGCAAATGCAATTAAGGGAGCTACGAAACCGTTCATCCGGATTGCATTACGGCGAGACGCACTCTCTCTCGATTGCGCTGCAACGCAGCCCGGAGGCTACACACCGTGGCGCATCCACTTCCACTTTCGCTGCGACTTCCGAGAAGAAATTATGCTAGCGCCCGTAAACCGCCGCCCGCCGTTAGGCATGCGACCTCTGTGGATTTAATTAAATATTTGCACTCGGTTTAATCCGCACCGTCGTTCTGTCTTCGTCTCTTCCCACTTCTCTTTACCACTCTCTCCGTTTTGCCGCGTCGTCGTCGTCGTCGACGACGACGCTGCGAAACGAGACGCCGGTCGAGAAAAGACAGAAAAGAGAAGAGTAATCGTCGCTTATTTGCATCCGGATAATCAGCAGGCGTGCATTCATTACGAGTGGTCGGCGCGAACTGGAAGCGCGACCGTAGAAAAAATCGCGAAAGAGGAGCGACCGAGGGAGAAAGAGCCGCGACCCGTTTGAGGTCGCGCCGCCATCGTTGCGCAAAATTGATGGCCGTAAGTGATATTGTAGAGATTCGGCTGATACATGCGAGGTGTCCCAAAGAGACTCGATAATGGCAGCGCACGTGCACAGATAAAGAGGCACGCACACACGGACGCGTGCACGTAACGCGCGCATGCACACAGAAGCGATACTTCCCCCTCAAATTTTCAGGCAACATTTCCTCCCTCCGTTGCTCGCGACGGATGATGGAATAATGGTTCGTTAAATACGTTTTGTTACAAATTGTTGCAGCGAGCAGTTAATTATATTGTTAATTAATAGTAATCAGACGGCTGTGTAAACGCGATATCACGGTGGGAATGAACTCGTGACTGAACGTAACGAGACTGCTGCGCGCGACGCTTCGACAAAAGTTGCTGTCGCTCGGTTTTGCACTAACGAGGAGGAGAGGTTTCGCGAGCGGGGCAAGGGGTTAGAGCGTCGCGTGTTTCGAGGCTCGTGTTGTAATGGCCGACGGACGCGACGGGTAGCTGCAAACTAATACGGCCGATGCAACCGCGGGGTGCATCATGGCTAAAGATACGGCGTAAAGAGGAAGCCTCGTGTCTCTGCTTTACGACTAATAATAAACTGTACCTAGAGTAAGTCAGAAGCCCAGCGTTACCGTGGCCATCTCATAATTTTCCATCAAGTTACCTGAAACAGACAAGAAAGCGCGATCGTTAGTCGCGAAAATACGTGATGGAACGTGGAATTCGCACTGAAAAAATCCCTCTGTCATCAGGAAAAAAGTAGGTTTGCTGTTTAATGATTCTCAGGAAAACAGATCAGACAGTCACAAATCATTTCTCATCGATTGTTCTCATCTATTTAGTTGGATTTACACAGAAGTGTTGCTTAGATTGATAGTAACAGACATCGTTTGTTTCCTCTACGAAGTCATCCGCTGTATCGCATCAACAAATCATTTGTTGCTGATACTTTGTTAAATTAGCTTTTTCTCGAACTTGCGCTAGAATCTGCATTCGCAACGGATCGTACAATCGAAATTGTGTTACGAGCACATCCTGAATTCACCACGTGCGGTGAAACGCGAGAAAGGCATTCGGCGAGGTGTTCTTTCGTCGCTGCTTGAAGATGCGTCCAAGTGTCGAGTGCGAAACTGTTCGTCACGGTGAATTCGTGCGCGGCGAGTAAACACGAGAGGCGATCTTAAGACGCGAAGAAGAGAGGCGCGTCGGCCGCGGCACCGGCCGCCGGTAATAACACACCGCGAATGGCAATTTCGCGTTCATTTAACCGACCCTGCATTTTTGCGCAACGAAGAAATTCCTTTCTCCGCGCACATCGGCCGGGCAAAGAAACGGCGAGTCACGCGAGTCAAGTCGGGCCCGATTTGATTCGCTTCGCTTCGCGAAGTCGGAGCCGCTCGCGGATGTCGGTACGGCGCACAGTTCTAAACGCGATTTCCCCGCACCTAACGCGTATCATCCGCCGTATAAGCGCAAAATAATACGGTATACGCGCGCAGAGCACATGTGACTTGCAGTGCGTGTAAACGCAAACGCTCCGGAAAGCGATCGTCCGTTAATTCAATTCCGTCCGCATGCCTCATTCAGCAGTCTCGTCCAGTATAATCGTGAGACACCTCGGTGACACAATTCAATCAGCTCTCTGTTTTAAAATCATGGATTGCACGAAATAAAATATACATTTTCGTTTAATTATATAACTGAAAATTTATCCCATAGTTCTCTAAATATCAGACCGATCTTAATTAGTTATTTGATTTGCACAAAGTATACAGAAAGAGAATAAACATTCTTCTTTTGAAGATATGTTCAATCCTAATACGTAAATTTTAAAATGAGATTATATAATGTTCTAAACAAAGATAAGATACTTGTATCAATGCATTTCATACGATTTAACACAAAGAAAAATATGTTCTTATCATTCAACGATAATTCTCATAAACGGAAAGCACGAAATATTGGTTTGAGAATATGTTTTTGAATGGTGGAAGAAAACATTATTATCATCAAAATAATCATATTGTACTTCTTCCGAGGCTGTTATAACATTCAAATAAAATAATGATCATGATATATTAGGGCCCGATGTATCATTGAAGATATCACACAAACCGGATAACTGACTTTAGAATCATCAGTAGCATGGAATAAATCTCAGGCCAATATCCCAATTAAGTCCTATCGATTATGTATTCAATTCATGAGAAGGGACACACACTCGACACGTATAATTTCAGATCTCGTTTGGCCTGAAAAACTATGCATACGTGGCGCACCAATTTTTCTCGAAAGCACGACGCGCGTTTTCCTAGGAGTAATTTCGCCGCGAAATGTTACCTCCTGCGCTGGGAGCGACGCGACGGAGGAAGGAACACCTGCGTGCGCGCTTTATGACTGTCGAGAAGACGCATTTTTCACGTCAGAGAGCGACGATGCACTCCCGGGACGTCTCGAGCGCGCACCACGAGACCGCGACTTTCGTCGTGACGAAATTACCACGTACAATTACGTTCTTGACATGACACGCGGGCACAGCATACAAACCCCCAAAGTCAACCAAATCTAACCCAGCCAGCTGCCCACCGTCTACTCACGGCGGACACGACCGCCCCCGACTGCCGAAACCGCCGTCGCAGGAGAACGTTAATTGCTAGATTCGAGGGGGTAAATTCGCCGCGGCTAATTGCCGTCCATAATCTTCGTAATGACCGTGGCCGCGCGAGGCGAACGTTGTCGGCGTGCCGCCGACGATCCTTTAATGCGCCTCGCGGCTCGCATCCAAACGACGCTTAGATCGTGACGGATTGCGCCGAGTTCGCGGCCGACATTAGTCTCGTCCCTATCGCAACGTTGAAATATCGCCTCTCGAACTCGTTACTATTCGCACACACGCGCGCGCGATATGCGCGACTCCCTTTTTGTTTTCTTTATTCTTCATTTCTTTTCAGCAGGCCGCGCACTGGTCGTAGCCGCGTGAAAGCGGAATATAATTATCACAACGACAGTACAGCTGTGTGAGGCGTTCAAATGTCAGATTACGTAGTCCGTGCAGTGCGTGTTTACGAGCTTGGCGACGACGTTTCCACCGCGAATCCGAAGATGGGAAAATTTGATTGAACGCCATCGTCGCGTCGAGGTCGCAACTCGAAAAATTTCAGTGTAATTAAACGCTCCCTCCGCCCCTCCACCCCGATTAAATTTCCGTAGACGTAAGCTTCGTCGTTTGCCGCGTACGCTCTCTCAGCTCGGCGGCTCTCCAGACTCTCTTCGCGACTCTCTTGATGTTGAATAATTTCGTAATTAGAACTCGGTTTATACTTTCTTCCGAGGAAGGAGACACTCCCCACAGATTCTGCAGGAACGCGCAGACGTTTTGCGCCGGCTTGGTATCCGCCGCGAGATGCCGACACGCGATATCAAAAATTGACTTCGACCGTAAGGATCGATGCGAATTAACGACAGCCAAATTTCTATCGTGAAAGTTTAATGGCTCCGTCTTGTTTGTCGACTACAGTTCACTATCTCGGCCGAATCGCACTCGCCGTTCCTCCGCCGGCGAAGTTAGTTTTCAAGCTGTACTACCGGAGAGTCGGAGAACCCGTTACAAGGTGGATGACCGAATTAAAGTTCGAGCAACTCGTGCTTCTCCGTCGCGCGCGCGTGTGCGGCCGGAAAAGCTCGGGGAGGAGGAGGGGGAGAGGAAAAGATACGACGCGTCTTGCGTAACGATTTTCACACGCTCGCGGACGAACGACGACAAGATTGCGATCGCGCTGCGAACCGGCCTCTGCCGTTTCGCACACGCCTGCCGTGGCGTTTGATATCCATTTAAAAGAAACCTCGTAGCGACAAGAGCGACACGACGAGTGGGGAAAAGTCTCGTCGCAGAAAACCATCGCGAGTCCTCGAAAGTGCGACCCTCGACAAAAATGTAGACTCGCGAAAAAATACAATAGACGGCATCAATATATCGACTTACTTCTATCAGAGCAGTCAAAATGACAAGAAAAAAATACGTAAAACAAAAGAAACATGTTTATTTACCTTTTTTTTAAATTTTATTCAACATTAATTCCATGAAGAATTTTGCAGTAAAATTTACTATAGAACTTTGCGATCGAATAACAAATTGGTATTTTGTAGTAATTTATTGTCTTTATATTTCTATATTTTTTCATTATGTTATTTATACTTTAAGAACTGAAATGTGCTATTAAAAATTTGGCCATGTTTCTAGCGAAATTTACTATGTTCCTTAGCAAGATAACTCTTATTGACATTTTTTCATTACTAAAAACAGTAAAATTGAAAAGAATTAATATTAACAAATCTATAATATTCTCTTAGTGTAAAAATATAAAATTCTTTGTTTTACGTTTGATAAGAAATTATCACTCCGTCATTGTGACTGTTTAGTAGCTTTAGTGTTAAACTCGTCGCTTTTGTGGTCATATAAATTACTGCCAGAAATTTAAGAACGGAGCCCCTCCAATTCACCATCTAAATGTCTAAAAAGAGAACTTATGGTAATAGAAAATAGGTCGCCGTATATTAAAATATACGGGAGGCCAGTATTTAAGGGAGCTTTTGTACTCGCATACAATGCGCGAGTTAACTCGGAAAATCGAATGAGGCTGTTTCATTTCGCTGTCACGGTGGTCTGATAGCCGTCTATTCGGCGCGCACGATGTCGGAATTGCGATCGCCGGGTTCTAATTCGAGTCGCGCGAGTCGGGAGATCGATCCGGGGGAGCAGGATAGCAAGAAGGGAATAAGAAGGGATCGCGCAGAGTATATAGCGGCGGGCGGTCAAGTCCGAAAATACGGCGAGCCTTTCCGACCGTATAATATTTTAGCACGTGCCGACGAACTTAAATAGAATCTCGTGAATTCGCGACGGTGATTCATGACAAAGCGAAACACGATTCAGCCGAACGACTGATTAGTGCGCACCGTAACTAGGAGATAGATTACGACATGGTACATATTGCCTTCTCGACATTTTTAAAGGTACGCTCGCACTTCCTTTGGCGACTACAGCAAGATGCTTAGGCATCCGTTTTAATATTACTGTTGCTGTCGAAAGTTACCTCTGAATCTCTGAATAAAACAATATGTTTCAAGACGGTCCGAAATTAACGTTAAATTAAACGTCAATTAACATGTTGCCGTAGTCCAAAAGCAGCCATGTTGTGCCAAAGATATTCGGAAAATCGATCGGATATGAATTCTCGAAATAACCATGTGGTTGTCCGAATTGGAAGTCGTGTCGAGTTAGCGCGAATTCACGATAAACGCGAATTTCAGCCTGACGAGAAATCTCTGTCTCCCTCTTTTTCCACCGAAGAGACGAATTATCAAATCAGTTGTGGAGGAGAAAATTCAAAGAGGCATCTCGGGGAGAAGAGAGAGAATAAGAATGAAGAGAGAGGAAGGGGGAAAGAGAGAGAGAGAGAGAGAGAGAGAGAGAGCTCGGCTGCAGGATATACGAAAGGACAATGAAATTCAGAACGATCTCGAGGACGCGCCACGCCGGAAGAAGAGCTCGGAGCAGACAGGTCATAAAGCAGAGGGCGGACGGGCGAAGAAGGGGAGTGTAGCGCGGGGTTGGGGGAGAGCAAAAGCGAGGAAGAGCAGAGAGGAGAGATGGGATGGGACGGA